GTCTGACTGCACCTGTTCTACCACTTTCACGTATGTATTTGACCTGACAATCATTGGAGACAGGGTATTAGACAAACTAAATTGTTTTGTTTTAAGGGCTCCACAGGATCTTTTAACCGACAAAGCATGTTTCTAATTGAGTTTGTGGTTGGTTTGAATGCCGGTCATTTTTATTCCTGCCTTCCAGTAAATACTGCTGTTTCACTGTGTGATATATTTAATAAACAAACTAATATGGAAAACCTAATTACATCCAACCACTACTTCTGTACAAACAACACAGCGAGATAATCGGTATTATTCTGCTCATCCACTAAGCAAACCCATTGTTAACCAGCCCCCTTTGAATGTTATAGAAAATCTCCTAAACATCGGCTACAGACAACATTCAGTCAGCCAAATATGCCCATAGAACCCATTTATACATCTTATGTATTTAGTAGGGAGCATGTGCCGATGTCTGCACAAAACCTGCTATGGTCTGATAACAACCCCAACCAGATACCAAGTCTTCATTCCTATTCTGGCAACAATTTACCGAATACTTATATCGACTATTACTTTCAAAATTATACTGCCCCTAGTAGCCGCTTCGAGAAGAATTTTCACCAGCGTCAGTCAACGGAAACATCTGGGATCATGCGTTTAGCACGCATGCTATCGGATTAATTCTTTGCCGGTGTTGTGAACAGTCTACTGCTAGGAAAAGGTATATTTCCCAGGAGACGGTTGATACTGTCGGCACCGAACGCGGATACCGATATCTCTAATTTTCACACATGTGTCTCATTGCATACCCTATTCAACCGACAGACCACCCCTGACTACCACCTTACGAACCTGCCTGAAATCTTCCTATGATCCAAAGGTAGTCGTTAGTGATTCTAAAATGCATGTATACAGAGGATAGTCACGGAATATTTTATCAAGATGTTCTCCGCTCACTAAAATCATGTAGCCAGTGTTACATTAGCTTCTATGTGCAGACTGTCATTGATTATAATCACTGAAGCCTGGTACACAAGTGAAATCCCTAATGACAGCCTAAGAATTGTTAACTACAATATTTTTCGAGGGGACAGAGAGACAGGCCATGGGGGTGGAACACTAATTTACTGTGAACAATTCATGTGTGAAACCCAGCTCAGTAACCCAATTCTGTCACAGCTGAATGAATCGATCTGGGTCGAAGTAAACCTATACTTATGGGTTGTGTGTAATGACCCCCTTCATCCAACTGGGAGTATGATAATATGCTCAGAAACATGTTTAATGTTACAGGCAATCTTCTCTTCAGTTATAAAATTATCGGAGGTGATTTCAACATGCCAGAAGTATCATGGCATTCACTCCGAGGACCCAAAATGTATAATAATCTCCTGAATTCCATCGCCACAGGAGGGTGGATACAACACATAAATTCACCCACTAGATCCGCAAATACCCTAGACCTTATTTTCACAAACAACATAACACCATCTACAGTACGTATAGGAGATGAATTTCCAGGCAGTGACCGTAAAATATTCGTGTGTTGTTTTAACACCTTCCCTGAAACAATACTCAGAGATCAAGCCGACCAGACACCTATGAGATAATACACACATGCCGACTAGGACTTGTATCAGCACCCAATTAGATACTCTAATTGGCACTCGTACTTTTCGAACGAGTCCTTAGACGCAGTTCTTAACAATTTTTATCCCAATATTAAATCAATTCATGATGTCATTGCACCTGAGGAGATTCTTAGCTTCAAATTCCCCAAAGCGATTATATTCCGACATCGTGAAGGAGAAGTCAAGCACTCAATAAAATGCTACGGATGTCATGATTTATCATCATTAATTGCTATTACGTACGTTGTCACCAGAATCCAAGAGTTGAAAAATATAAGCCTCAGAAACAAAGAAATGTGGGCCATTCAGCCACCGCATAACCCAGGAGACTTAGCCAGGCTTTTCAAAAGTAGGCTAACAAACTCCAAAACAGCCTATCTAAAATTAATATACTTGGACGGTATTGCTTAAGAGAATACCGAGGTGATATGTTAACTTATTAGCGGGCACTTCGCCAGACTATACACCATGGAGAACGACCAGGTCGTGGATTTCACACGTAAAACAGACGAATATCTGAGTGAGATACTTTTCACCACACAAGAGATCGATAAAGCTATCGCAAATCTTAAGCTTACTAACACTCCTGGTGCAGACAGTATATCTTCCATTCTATTGAAAAACGGTGATATTGTCTTCAACTTAACTCCTACTCAAGTTATACTCAATTTCATTAAGCCATAGGACATAGCCTACTTGCTGGAAGAAGTCTTATATTGTACCTATTCATAAATACAGGCCTATAGCTGATATCGACAACCACCGCCCTATCAACATCACGTCTGTAGTTTCACGTGTAATGGAAAAGATAGTAAAGACTCGAATCATTTAGTATTTACTCTCTAATGTCCTACTATCCCCCCCCCAATACGGTTTCCTAAGTAGAAGACCGTGCATTACTTTCCGCTTAGATTATTTTGACTACATTAAACAATGCATAGATAATGAGCATTCGGTAACTATCGAATATCATCAAATCAATGTGCACAGGGATGGCGAGCTTCCTAGAATGGTGGCCACATTGCAAACCTGACTGATAGAGAGTTTCCCAGACGCCGCACTTACTCCTAACAGTTTACCCTCAATTCCTAACTTACCACGTGTTACTTATGTCACTGGAACACAATCGCGTTGGAACAGAAGGAACACAGATTCATTGAAAAATTGTTTATTAAACAAAAATTAGATTTTAGATGTACAGATAGCTCAGATGAGTAGTCCTCCGTTACTCTCAGTAGGTCCCAACTGCGTACACAGCACATATATGTTTCTCCATAAGCCTGAAAAGGTTCAAGAAAAGCATTATTAACTTGGGTAGTACATGTATGACCTGAATAAAAAAATTTTTATTGATAAGCATTTATAAGTAATCACATTACAAACAATATATATAAGTTGCTAAATACTTTTCACTAAACTTAAGGGACTTTGCAATTTATCGTTGGTCGATATCTAGCAGGTTCATCGAACCATCACATGAAATAATAAAATTATTTAACGACAAGTTATGCAGTTCTTCCCAAAGCCTGTACCAAGATTTTAATAGAAAACGACAATGGCTTTATGACAAATAATAAGTCTTGACAGCGAGAACAATAATAATACCGTTTATGCTCATAATAGGTATTATTATCGCAACGAATTCATCATTGACTTAGATAAAAACCAATAATAATACAATCATATCAATTAAATGTATCACTTAATCTTATTTTTTTTAATTTTTGATTTACAGCTTGATTCCACACCGTATTTTCGGTACAAGTATGGAATATTCAGGATGGATATCGGTAGCCCAAATTTCGAAGGCCGACCATAGATATCAGATGTGCGTCGGCAGGGGTTCCAACCTCGGACCGTGTGCATGGTCGGTGAAAGTATTAACCACTGTGCCACCGACGCCCAGATTACTTATTGTCCATTCTTAATTACAAGATTCCTGTTAGCCACAGGATGTGGGGACTTACAGCTTCCATGACCTAATTCAGAATAATGCACATACCTCTTTCCTTTCATAAGCGACAAATAATCCGGGTTGATCACCACATTCACAGGTATCGGATTCACCTTAGTACATACAACGGCGAAATCGACAGACAACAGTCATCCTAACTGGATTAACATTTTCCAATCTTATGACTACTTGATGGTGCTCTGGTATTTTTCTCCTCACAAATGGACGCTGTTTTACTTTCTCCCAAAAAAAAACCTCTTTTCGCACGAATGAGTGCTTTCGGATACGCTTGTTAGAAGCGAATTGAGGATCCATCTGTAAAACGGAATTAAAAATAGGACAAAATAAACAAATAAAAAGCAAAATTATGGTAATGCATTCAATAACTAGGTGACTCAACTAGACGGTAAAATTGGATGCAAAACAAAACGGTGATGGATTTAAGTCACATTCAGTAACATAGGGTGTCATACGTCAGACGGGCTTGATACACAAGTGGCGATACTCTGTCGCTACCAGCTAATTTATCTACCCAGCATAATTACTCTTGATTATTGTCCGACAACTGTTTCGTCAATGATCTATGCTAGAATAGTTATTCAAGAATTCACTTTCATCAGGGAGTAGACTAGATGTCGATGAAATAAATCCAACGCCTCCTTCCCTACACCATTTCCTCTATTCGCATTATTCAGATGATTCTAATGTCTTCATGTTCATTCCTAATTACGAGATTTCTGCTAGCCACGAGATGTGGGGACTTACAGGTGGATCCGTTTGCACTTTGGCGCCAGAACTTCCTGAGCCTTGTTGGGCAGGATGCCCCTTATGTGGCACTACCTTGTCACGTCTATCTGGCCGGAGTGAGGTTTTCTTCTCAACACTTGACTCTTGTCTGCTGTCTCCCAAAAAAAAACCTCTTTTCGCACGAATGAGTGCTTTCGGATACGCTTGTTAGAAGCGAATTGAGGATCCATCTGTAAAACGGAATTAAAAATAGGACAAAATAAACAAATAAAAAGCAAAATTATGGTAATGCATTCAATAACTAGGTGACTCAACTAGACGGTAAAATTGGATGCAAAACAAAACGGTGATGGATTTAAGTCACATTCAGTAACATAGGGTGTCATACGTCAGACGGGCTTGATACACAAGTGGCGATACTCTGTCGCTACCAGCTAATTTATCTACCCAGCATAATTACTCTTGATTATTGTCCGACAACTGTTTCGTCAATGATCTATGCTAGAATAGTTATTCAAGAATTCACTTTCATCAGGGAGTAGACTAGATGTCGATGAAATAAATCCAACGCCTCCTTCCCTACACCATTTCCTCTATTCGCATTATTCAGATGATTCTAATGTCTTCATGTTCATTCCTAATTACGAGATTTCTGCTAGCCACGAGATGTGGGGACTTACAGGTGGATCCGTTTGCACTTCGGCGCCAGAACTTCCTGAACCTTGTTGGGCAGGATGCCCCTTATGTGGCACTACCTTGTCACGTCTATCTGGCCGGAGTGAGGTTTTCTTCTCAACACTTGACTCTTGTCTGCTGTCTCCCAAAAACAAAACCTCTTTTCGCACGAATGAGTGCTTTCGGATACGCTTGTTAGAAGCGAATTGAGGATCCATCTGTAAAACGGAATTAAAAATAGGACAAAATAAACAAATAAAAAGCAAAATTATAGTAATGCATTTAATAACTAGGTGACTCAACTAGACGGTAAAATTGGATGTAGAACATAACATCGGTTAACAGCTTCAGGTAGCGATATCTGGCCTGCACTTACATCTAAGTCACGAAACTCTGACCAACACGTGAGTGCTTACTTGAATAATCTGTGACTGCAACCCGCAATTTCATCGACGCATTAAAACAAATGTACAAACAATCAAAATTTATTTGGTCATAAACATTTCTTCAATTATGAAACTTGAGTTTCATAGTTTTCTTTGTTCTCTCGTAATTGTCCTAAGGGTGATGGAATTTTCCAGATGCCTGGAACAGGTGTTGAATCATTCCTACTACACGTGTTTGCAGATGATTATGGTAAGCTATTATATTAACTCATTCATTATATGCTGCTGTCTCCATTATCGCAAGTCTTGATATCGTTTCCCATTTCATCAGAAGGACTTCATATCAAATGACAAAATCAACACCAATGTGATAAACAATTTCACTATGTAAACACACGTAGCTTTTATAATTTTACACATTTATCAAATCCAACAATGTACACCTGGCTTTCTTATCTTTATTTACCAATTGGCCAACTTGACAAGGCGAAAATGCCGCCTTGCTGAGGAACGACGATTAAGTTGTGATATATAAGCTGAAATTTTGTAAAGTCTGGTTTAGTAATACTTTGATAAAGCTGTTAGCAGCATTAAATAGCGAAACGTCAGTAAAACAATATGTACTTTTTCATTCTAATCCGTTTTTAACTTGATGGATTATTTTTTCCTTACAAATTTATGCATTTATGTCGACTAACTTTGTCTCTTTCACTCATCATTTTGAGGACATTGCAGAGTTAACGAGAATATGGTAGGCAACGTATTAAAACTTATGTGAAATGCGTCAGTCTTAAAATTTTACTATTTCCTCAATGCATCATCAAGCCTTGTGTAAAGTGTTTCAGTTGCGTATAATATTGGTATTCGCGATTGTTAAGAAAGTAGCCGTCAAACATGTGTTATAACGAAACATAACCTAGCAAATATAGGTCCTATACGTACATGACTTGTAGTGGTAGTCTAGGCACTTCATGCTGACCATGCAACGTATATCCTATTTATCACAAATAGTCTGCTATTCTTATGTTGCGTTCAACACCACTACCTCAAAGGAAATCATTGCGTAATAAAGAGATAACTACATTACTCTTCTTGTGCTATCATTGCGTATCAATAGGCTCTTACATGATCACATTAACACCCAGACTCGTGCATTAGCTAATTACGTCACTAAATTTGATTGATTACTTTGTTATCATGAAATACTGTAACGCATTAAATAGGCTTTTGTTGTGCATATCGCCTGTTTAAGGTTTACTAGCGAAAGCGATAATAGTACCCCCATCGTGTCTAAATTCAACCAGGTGTAAATATGGCACTTTACCAATATTATGTCTTCTACACTGGCATCACTTTGCAACTTGACAAACAGTAAGTATCATTAGTGTACGAATAAGGTGCAAAATTTTTAAAAACAATATTTATTTCGACAAATACATTCATAATATCACAAATATTCCATCAATCACACAAATATTATCCTTTTTAACACCACTGGAATGTCTAAATGTATTGAGTGATTGCGGAATTGAAGACCATAACCTGAGAATTAAATATGACAAAAATTCAGTCAGCATATGATGGGCGAAATAAATAACTTGAAAGACAGTACCTACCAGTTAAATGACTGTTTATTCACCGTTATCTGACGAAATTACCAACTCAGTTTCCTTTATTACTGTGAAATTTTGTAAACATAATGAAATCATAATTACCTAGATATTTAACTCTCTCCTAATCATTTACGTAAAATACACTGAAACAATTGGAGCTATTTTGCATTTTATATCATGATATATAGGCCAACACGTTATATGAAAACATATGGGCACTGGGTTCGAGCCTCGGTGGGAACATTATCACTCACTGAGAAATGCAGGTACATCCAGCCGACGAGTCCCAAATAGGATGAAATGCGCATCCTGGATTCCACTGCTAGTCACCATCCACCAATTAAATACTAACTAAATGCCCAGACATCGTCGAAGCACCTGCACAAGAAGCCGACATGTCAACCTGAGACCGAGCACTTCGGTCCAATCAATCGACGGGAAAATCTCAAATTCAATTAAATGAAGGCAATCGGCTAAACAGCTTCTTCGGCCAAATGATGATTTATGCGCTCGGATTTGATAAGTGATTTTAGACAGCTGTTATTTAACTGGTCACACAGCTGCGTGAGGGACATAATGCTGTCAAACTTGCTCTGTAGGTCTGCTATTGATTTCTGAAGTGTCAGTAAATCATTTTCGCTACTAGCAGCATTAGCTATCAGTTCCTCCATGATATCAGATACCATAACTTTGGGTGTGTCTGGTGTCAAAAGTGTAGAATCGTCGACCGAGTTGAAGCCGTCGGACGGTTGACGAGTGTAAGATTTCATTCTGTTAACGGCACCTACACGTTTGACAGGCTTAACCATTACAGAGACAAGAACTTTCACAATTTCCGAGAAAAAGTCTTGAGTATATGAAAAAGATTGTTGTATTATGGATAAATAGTCCTATATTGAAAAATAAAAATATCAGATTTTCTTTTAATAGTACTTCCTGAGGATAAAATCCTTAGTCCCAGGTTGTTAGAAAGAGCATCAGAAGATTCCGGGTTGTAGATTTCACAAGTAAATACTATATATGTTCCAGGGGGCAGAATACAATCCTTGTTAAGTATAGACATGTGGATATTATGAGGAACGCGGCTAGTTTCCAAAAGGATATGGAAAGATGATTCACGCAGAAACAGATCACCTGTAGAGCAACAGTTTTACTGTTTTGTCACTGTAAATGTACCTGAGACTTGTTCCGAGAATTCTGTTTGCAGATCTCCAGTGAACACTTTAAGTATGTTGTTTGTCTTTAACAGAGATGCCACACTGAAAAGGGGACTACTGAAGGAGAGGAAATCTGTGGGTCCTATGCATTAGTAATTTTCAATTCTCGGTTGTGAAAGCAATGAAACATAAATCCAAGTAACCTACTGAAGCTGAAATCAGTGACAGGAAGTAAAATCAGGGGTTTTACCACACCCGAGGCTAAATAGTGAAGAAAAAATGAGGAAAAGCTTGTCAAAAATCGCCACGTTTGACATGGTAGCAGGGAGGTTTGTCCATAATAATCCACGTTTACTGATGTGCATTTTCTACGAGTTCCAATATGTTTCAGTGTCGTTAATATCTGGATGTATAATATTAGTTTTATATATATATATATTGGCTTACATTGAACGACATGAAATAGAATGTTCAAATACACAAAGTATTCTGTCGCTAACGCAGCACTGAACTGTGAAAATATGTGAGAATATTATTCCGTTAGAACCGATTGTCCCTGTCACACCACCACAGAAGTATTCCCCCGAAAAGCAATTATTCAAGATCATAGAAAGGCATTAGGGTAAATGACAGTACGTTGCTGTCAGTGATTTCACAAAATTAATAGTCTAGAGTATTCTTCGCTCAACCACGGGATGCTCGTCAACATAAAATGCTGAGTGTACGCAGTCAAGCGCTAATCACCACACAACGTTTCTAATTGTAAAATATATATCGCACTTTGGACGACCAATTTGTTTTGTCTTTGCGTCTGAGCAGAACGAGGATTTTGGGAGCGACAGGATAGAAGCTGGCGTTTATAAACAGCGTGACTTGAGTATACGTCGACATTCCTCATCTCCTAAACTGGTAAGCCCGTTGACGAACTTCATCTCACAAACTTGTGGACAGGTAAACAATCTTCGCTATACATCAGTGAGTTCTTTCCACTTTGTATCCGTTCATTTGTTAGCTTTGCTACATTTCAACATAAGCCACTTTTACGACGTGTGATCAGACACCCAAACTTATACGTATTCAAACGACTAGCATTCCCACTCAGCATGTTTCTTCCTGGTTACCCAATCAAGAAACACGTTTTCTGTACATTCACGCCGACTTGTATGAATATGGTGTAACTGATCCATATCCACAGCTCCTGGAAGTTACACGTGCTCTGCAACAGGAATTCAGCAAGTGTGTGACCGCGCAAATATTCTTTCCAGAAGTAAGTAATCCTTTCGAAACACTAAAAGAAGCTATTTTAAAGGCAAACAATCTCTAGGATCATTGACATAAGGATAAACCTTGGGCACTGTGGTAGAGTATAACTCCATTATGGACAGGATTTTATTTTGATAAAATCACACAGTCTTATGAAGTAATATTTATTGATGACGCTTCGAGCACAAATTATTGCTCATTATCATATCAAGGTACTCACATAACTTTCTTGCTTCATTTATATACATGAGTAAAATTGATTAGACGTTGGAATAAAATCAATGTAAGACTTGAGTGAAACGGAAAGGAAGATAAAGTCCATTTAGAACCGATATTGGTGTTATCAATAAAATACAACAGGATGGGAAATAAGATGAGTGTCGTTAGTCAATAAGATGTTTTTTATTGTAGAAATAAGTGACTCGTTAGAATGTTATGATGTGAATTGAATACATTTTAACACTATTTATTATCCTCCTCAGATTTGACTGGTAATCTTATCTTCCTTATCTTATGCCAAACAGTTCATTTCACCTTTAGGCACAACTCTGACCTAAACAAACTGGTTAACACTCACGAGGTGTGCAACATAGATGGCACTGAGATTGAAACCAAGTCGGAAGTTAAATACCTAGGCGTCACTCTATCTTCTGATCTTTCCTGGTCGTCTCATATCTTGACGATTTCTAAGAAAATATTCCGTCTTACCTTCTACATCAAGAAGTTAAGACATTCTGGT